GTGCTTGTGTGTGTATGTGAATGGTTCTCACGGGTCCCATCCACCCTCCCTCCCTCAACGTCTTCATTTGGAGAGTGAACAGGTCCCCTGGGGCTAATGCGTGCTTTTGTATGTGTGTGTGTGTGTGGTCGCTACATTATTCCCCCCACTGACTTTCTATGGAATGAAAAAATTGACTGTCCATCTAGCATCCTTCCTGTCTTTAGAAAAGAGACAAGCTGAGGGGAACATGCTTGTATGACAGTGCAGCCCTCATATGAATAAAGACACAGTCAAGACAGAATATAGAGAAATACAGATTCTACTGTTGCATTAGTATTTTACAGTTGTTTTATAGTTTTAGCTCAATTTTTACAACAGACTTTCGACTTTAAAAACTCACACATTAACACACATTTGGCCTTTAAATCTCACACATCTCATACCAAAACTGCCATTGCTTATACAAAAATGTAGTAAGAATGACTTTTGGAAATATTTTTTATTATTCTAATCATTAAATATGTTGTTTTACTCTAAATATAGACATAGTGGAGTCTTCACCGCAAATCCACAGTGATTATTCTGACAGCATCACTTTCTGTTCTGTATCAACCACAAAGTTTGGGTTGAAATTGAAACTGAAAACAGGTAGCCAACACATACACATTTGCACAAAAACACATAAAAACATGAAATGATGAATAAATAAAAGCATAAATACACATGTACACTATATATATATATATATATATATATAAAATTAAATTAAATTTATTTTTTTAAAAAGTGAAAAAATTTACTGTGACATAGACAGGGATGGAAGATGACCTATAGTTTGTTGAGAACCCCAACAGCTGATGGTACAAATGGATTGTGAATGATGAATTGAAGACATCAAACATCTAATATTTTTTTAACTTGTAAGTTTAATCACCTATTATTCAGTAAGCTACAGTACAATAATAATAGTAGTGTGTGACTGGAAAGCATGTAACATTTAACCACAAATTAGTAGCAGACACTCAAGATGCCACTCAACATTCTGACAGAAATTTGCACATTGAATGTCTTCTATGAAAACTGAGCCGAATCAACAAACAGAAATGAATTGTGTAATAAAAAGATTATATTCAACTAAAACCAAAAATTCAACCATCCAAAGAAAAAGAACATGGCATGACTGTCGTTTGTGCACTTCAATTTCAAAAGCAACAGCTTTTTCTGTTTCATTCTCAATCTCTGCGCCGCAGACTCTCCATACATGCAGGTCCAATGGCACAATTAGATTCTCATTGATCCACTGGAGCTGACGGCGCTCCACCACTTGTAAAATCTAGTCTTGGAGGATCTGAGTAACTATTAGACTCACAGCTCTAATTCCATATCAGTGAAGCTGATTCATAGCTCTGACTCATTAAGAATCAGGGGGTTTGCTGATAGCAGAGCAGTCGCCTCATTCCTGCGGTGAGCCCCAGACGGTCTACCTGCAGCTGGCCCGAGTGGAACAAAGCTGGTTCTATAATTAGGTTCTCATGGCTGATTCAATTAGAGCAGCCGCTCCATTCATTTTGCTAAAGATGCTCCTCAGCTGCTTGGAGGGACTAATGGAAGAGATGGAGAGATATATGGGAAACAATTAGACATGACATTATCCTATGGTGTGTGTGCATGTGTGTGTAGATATGTACAAAACAGCAATACGGCAAAAACTTCTTTTCTTTTTCCTCAATACTTATGTTGATATGCCATACACACACTCTCACATGTCATCTTCTCAAACCTAAATCACTTCTTTTTCTTTTCCCCTTCTCCAACCCTCTTCCGATATTTCAATTAGCTGCCTGGCAATTAAATTACAGGGGACATTACTTAAGAACATAAACAGTGGCCTGCTGATGTGATTCTGGTGCTTCAGCCTCAGATGAGATATGAGCTGCCCTGAGTCACACTATCTGGAGAAGCGATCCAGAAACCATATCTCATGTTCTACATTATGTTCAAATCACATGCTTTTCCTTTTCTGGGATAACAATAAGAAATATTAAAGCTCCACTACACTTAAAAATGTGTTCTGCATATTATTACTTCACTTGGGTGTTATAGAAGTTTCTCTGTGGTCAACTTAAATTTCAGTTTAAGGCCTGCACATATGAGGATGTTTTTAATGACAACTAGTCTGGAAGTCAGTTGTGGTCCAGTATGTAACTTACACAAGTGTGATGTAAAAACACGAAGCCTCCAGTGCACATATACAGAAAATGGAGTGGGAAGTTGGATACAACTTTTGACCTGAAATGTCTGCATAAACAGATTCAAGACAGCAGAAGTTGAGAGGTGTTTTTATTTTTATTTGCTCATATGAGCCAAACTCCAAAAATATGGGATCCTATAATTCTCTTAATGCAGTTCAATAGTGTCTTTCATCAGATGGTTCCTGACAGGTAAATCACCATCTGTAAAACTCCAGTTAAGTAACAATATCAGTGCTTAGGCTATTCAAAAAAACAACATTCCTTATCACAAATGATGTTTGACAGGGCTGGACCTCGACAGTCACCTTGAGTCCTCTCCTCTTATTCCTGACTCCAGCACATTATAGATGTCTATCTGAATGCACCGTCTGCTCTCTGTAATCTCATCACCTCATGTCCACATTGAGAAAAGGTGCTCTGGTGGGATCTTGATTCCCAGAATTACCTTTTATCTCTTAAGGTTGGTATGGGGAAATAAGCCGGACAGCTGTAGGAAGATAAAATATAGGGAAGGAAAAAAAATTTAAATTTCATTTTAAAACCTTTTTTTGTCCGTCAGCCAGAGCTTAAAGTCTGGCTGGTTCTCCTTTTGGGATCTAATTAGACACTCAAAGAGTTTTCCTCCAAACTAAGAAGGAAAGTAAGAATGAGAGTATAAGAGATTTGGAAGGGTTTTTTTTTTTTTTTTTAAGGGTCGAGGTTTTTTTAATAAATGGAAAAGAAATTCAGAGCACTTATGGGTAAAAATAATAAGCAGTTATAATTTGCATGGCCAAATATCAGTGACTCCCAGAAAGACATCATAGGACGTTCTAAATATATCCAGCAGTTATGAATGAATGACTATGCTTTGGTTTACATCCAAATGCTCCCCCAACAATCTCCTCCTCATACGTTAAAGCCGTAAATAAATGGATTGACTTTTGGACAAGCGACAGTTTTCCTTCATAATTGTTAATTATCATGAGTGCTCTCTGAGGTACTTTCTATGAATGGAGATGGGACACTCTCTCTCTTTCTCCACCCTCTTGTTCTTTTTATGGGATTGGTCTTAGTTCTCAAGGACATCAAAAAGGACGCCAGCAGTGGAGGGAGGAGGTGCAGTGGATGGGTGGGGCACCTGCGTCATTCCTTGCAAAGGAAGGGTTGGTGGATTTTATGGCATTGGGCGCCAGTTAGCTACACCCCCTCTAAACCCCACCCAAGTCCATCTTCCCTGCCTGACCGCCAACAACCCCACCCACCCCCGGGTGGCTCCTCCCAGAGTCCCAGACGAGAGAGCACAGCACTTAAGGTAATGTAAATAACCAGAGAGGAAAAGCTATTTTAAGATGCTGTCTTTCACTGTGGCCATGGAGGGGGGACAAAGATGCAAGCCAAGCGATTGTAAATTCAGTCACGTTTTCGGACATGTTCTTTTTCTCAGTCTACCATCTAGCTAGCTGAAGGGCCTGACAGACAAGAAAGAGCCGGTGCAGTGTAAGCCTTTTTCGAAAGAAAGATGTTTTTAAAAAAAAAAAAAAAAAATATATATATATATATATATATATATATACGGTATAGGCAGATGAAGGTCTTGAAAAGTGAGTCTGAGATGCCCCCTTTGAGCTTAAAATTACACACAGGAAAGAAAACTTAGAAAACATTCAAATAAGATCTAGTATTCCTATAAAACCAAGATCCTCCAAAGGGTAAGATAAATCTGTGGGGTCAGAAATTGATCAACAGGATAGGAAAGCAGAAAAACAACATATTTCTGCAAAGAAATATCTTTATCTTTCCACTTTCTTTCTGTAAAATACTAGTTCATTTCAGGCTTCTGCTGCAACAATCTGGCATTGAAGAATTACTTTTTGGTTGAACCCACGCAACATGACATCCTAAGTCAACATAGCTTGGTTCTACCATAAAGGTTGGGAAGCACTGCTGTTTTAGCATAATGACCAATAAGCTAAAAAAAAAAATTTTGCATACTAAAATGTAATTTAGTGGAAATTTTGAAATTTAAAACAGTAATTTAAGTAAAGCCGGATTATTCTTAAAGAGGATTTTTAACAAGAATCAGAAAACAAAAAAAAACAAAAAAATATCGTCTTACAAAAGTAGAATTTATATATTTTCCTGAAATAATTTGTTCTTTTTTTATTGTTTCATCTTTTATGACATCAAAAATAAATAAACATTTAGACAGCATCCTTTCCATCTTATATGAATAAATTTTAACCAGCATTATTTGTTATCTATATATAATTTTTCTCCATATTTTTACAAACATACACAACACAGAGAAAATAATCTGCACACTGCTGTTAACAACAAAATAAAGAACAGATCTGAAAAAATCAGAACCTGCCCCCACATTTTTCTGCAACAGTTACTGTTTGACTTTGCAAAATCACAAACAAAAACATCAAAGTACACTACTTAATATAATTCTATCTTTTTGTAGGGGTTACATTCATCTTCAAGTCTTTGTTCACAGCAGAGTGACCAGTCACAACTGTGGAAATTACAAGTATCTCTTTTTATGAGCTTCATTAAGGCAATTAAAATACAAGATAACTTTTAAACACTAATTTACACTGATTCATATGATTAAAACTGACATTAAAGAGGATATTAGCTAATGCTTCAAGTCTACTACCATAACTACTGCTTGTATATTTTCTACTGAGCATGATACATGGATTGTTTCTTTCTTAAATCACAGTCATGATGTGTTTATCAGGAATAATTAATAATATACACGAGAGACATGATTGCCTTTCAAAAACGGTATCAAACAAAATCAGCTGGGTGTTGGTTAATATGTGAGATGTATTTCACATTTTATGACTATTTGATTTATAAATCAGAAACAGTGCTACAAATGTAAATTAGGTTACATAAAGTTACTGGCTTGATATGACATATTGAAGCTATAAAATATCCTGTTTTCCATATTTCCTTGTTTCCGTCTCTCACAATCAGATTTTTATAATAATATCTCTTCAGGTGTGTATATGTATATGTTATTGCTTTTATCTAATTGGTACATACATTGGTGAATAAATACCCTCCTTCCAAACTACTTTTGTGCTGTCAGTCACTTCTTGTAAAGTACCTGTTATCTGTTCAACATTCCTTTTCATATTTCTGATCAAATATGTCACCACTTCACACAGCATCTCTCATCTCCACTTATCTGCAGTTGGATAACGGTCTGCTTTTTCATTAGTGATAAAAAAACAAAATTAATCAAATAAGGAGTCTCTTTTTTCTTTTAGTATATCTCCAAACAAGTTTAAAAAAGGATGAATACAGTACACCCAACTATCTATAAGTACTATATGAGTGTATGTGTGTTTGATGTACTTCAACTACATGTCTGGACAATCAGCAAGCTGCTACACTATATATCCCGACAGGCTGTTATCCAATCACCACAAGCGGGATGTGGTAATTTGTAGTCCCAAGAGAGGATGTTTGCTTGTTCTCTCTTAGTTGTTACTTCTTTTTGGAGTATCTGACAGAGTAACCAGTTCTCTGGCAGATCAGTTGCATGTTTTTTTGGTTTGTTCAAACACATCCTGAGTTTGTCATTTTTCATCATGGTGAGAGGAGTCAGGGCTGGAGTCCTCCTCCTCCTCAACGGTTTCCGCTTGGAGCGTGTTACGGCGTGTGAAGGCGGCCGCCAAGGTCACGCTCAGCCGTGGTTTGACAGCCGATATCTCCGACAGCCCGATATTGTTGCCTCGAGTTACAAGCGTTGTCTTATCCATAATCTCTCCGCTATGCTTGGACACAACAGCGTCGAGGAAGTCGTATTTGTGTGAAATCTTGCCACTCTCAAACAGGTACTTTGCCAGGTAGGAAAAAGCAACGTTACCCAGAAAGGAGGCGATCATAGAGACGGTCTTGAAGGGGAACTTCTGGATGACAACATCCTCCATTTCTCCAGTTATGTGGTGCATCCTCTGCTCAATGATCCAGCCTGGGTAGTAGATGAAAGGAGGCAGCTGCAGGTAGGGCTCACCTCCACCTATACGCAGTACCATGCCGAACAGGTAAGCAGCCACCGAGCCGTAAGTGTTGGTACCTTTGACAAAGAGCACACTGAGCAGCTGGGGAAAGATGATAACGTAGACCAGGTCTGAGCTCAGGTACCAGAGGCCATAAACTGTCCCGGTTACCAGTGCCATCAACGTAGCAAGGCCGCCGAATACAAAGATAGTGATGCGCATCACCCACACAATCTCACGGTCAGACGCCTGAGGAGCAGAAAAGGGATTGTGACATATGCAGAACAGCCCAAAAAAAACCCTAAAAAAGACATTGATTTTGTATAAACTGTCACACAAGTACTTACCGACTGTCTGAAGGCGAGCTGGTAGATGTTTCTCGCAAACATGGAGCTTGCTGAAAGGATGGAAGAGTCTGCAGATGACATGACAGCTGCAGACACCGCACCCAGGCCGAAAAAAGAGACGAATGGCGGGCAAAGGTGTTGGAGCACGATGGGCAGAATCATGTCTGCTTGCTCCCTCTCTTTAGGAGGAATGGCACCATAACTTGTCTGGTTCCAGTCTGAGTAAGGGAAAGATTTAATGAAGATTTAAAATGACACATCCAATATGCCCAGTATACATGTATTAGGCCACAGCTTACTTCATATATGGTACGCAGTAGGACTTCAAAATTTCGTTAAACATAACAACAATGACAAATGAAATATGATAGCATTGCAACCTTTCTTTTTTGTGTAGTGTCTTTGTTTTTTCCCCCACAGTTCATTAAATCAGTTTTGCAAAAGTCGGAAACTCAAAGATTTTACTGGTGATGGGAATAAGCAAGATAGAATTGTATTTGATTTTTGTCACTTTAGTTTTGTAACAGTTCATGTTTATGTTAAAACAAGAAAAAACAAAGTTGTGTATTCTGATGTTCACCAAGGAATTTGACGACTAAAAATCTGGAGATCAGACCTCTAATTTGCTCCCTTGCCTCCCTCTAATGTAATATTTACACAAGCAGCGTGGTTATTAAATGGATTGCTGCTTCATTATGGATGAGGTGAACCAGCTGCTATTTACCAGGCTCTCTCAGATCTAAGGGCAACATGGACCCATCCAGGGCCTCCACCCCCTCCCCCAAAACAAATACACACAGACAGACTGTGCATATGCAAGCTCATGTATTAGCTCTCTAACCTGTGGAGGCCCCGATGGCCCCGATGAGAACGGAGGGCACAGCCATTACGAGGCACCCGAACGCAGCCAGGAAAGAGAGGACCTGGGCGTAGGTAGCCGAGGAAGCGGAGAGGACTCTCTGGAAATACACCTGCCAGGGTATTCCTCCAAGCATCTGCAGTTAGAGACCAGAGTAACATTCATACAAGATAGTCAAGTTAATTTTATTTATATGGCCCAAAGTCACATATAGTAAATATATATAGTTGCCTCAAATGTATAATCTTTACAATCTATAGAGCATATGACATCCTGTATCCTTAGACCCTCGCTTCTGATAAGGAACCAACATTTTTGCAGAAAGATTTACTGCTGATATGTCAGACTGCATGAAACTCCTTGCCATAAGGTTCAACAGTTGCATCAAAATGCAAAACAATAAAGAAAAATTTACAGCACAGGTTGCCAGAGTCAAAAATGTCATATTTAAAAGGCTGTCAAACTAAATGATTTGACTGTCACTGATGAGTTTTCTGACAATTTAACAAACAGTCTCAGCATGGTAACGTTTAGCTAATCACAAATAATATGACCTTTTTCCAGTGTGAGTTCTCAGTAGACTAAATTCTGCTTAAGTGAGAGATGAATAGCTTGTGGTTACTGTACCAGGAGGCAGAAGTTGTCGATCCAGACCCAGGTGTCCTTCCTGTTGATGCTGCCTTTCCAGGGCGACTGGTACACATGCTTCACTGCAGTAACAGTAATGTCTGTCACCGCAGGGTTGGTCAAAGCAAAGGGGACACTGATCCACTGTAGACAGACAGAAATACAGTAATAAACTTTAGCTCTTTAATTATCCCACCTTAGTTTATTTCTATAATTTCCAGACAATTTGTCACAAATTAATATTTGCTGTGTCGTTTCATTTCACTTTGTGCCCTGTACTTGCATAATATTGTTAAAAGTGATTTGGCATATTTTAAATCAAGGTCAAAGTACATTTGGTTGGACAAACACAGTAAATCTACTCAAGAATGGTAACTAATTAAAATAGTTGCTATTATCTACTTTTGACTTGTGCTCAACATGAACCTACCAGGCCAATAAAGATACAGAAGAGCTGCACAACATCAGTGTAGGCCACAGAGTAAAGTCCTCCAACCAGGGTGTAAAAGATTGCAATGAGTGCTGAGATAACCACTGACATCTTAATGTTGATGTCCACAATGACACTCAGAGTAGCGCCTAAGGTCATGAACAAACAGATGAAAGGATATTATGGCCACCGCATCATCCTATAGACAAAAACTCAAACACACTTTGAATGTATAGCCCACAAGAATAGTTTATTTAGTTGTAGACAGAAACATGAACTTACCAAGGGCGGATAAGATGGCGGCAGACCAGAAGATCTCACCCATGAGTGCAGGTATGAAGAGGAGGCCACCCATGCGTTTCCCATACATCTGCTGAAACGGGTCCAACATGGTGACGTAACCTCGTGAGCGCATGGGCTTAGCGAAAAAAAGACCACCTGAGACAATGAGTGGACACATTACAGGCTGAGCAGTGAAGCAACCACCATCAGGACAGAGAAGGCCCCTAAATCTAGACTAAACCGCCTTTTGTGGTCCTCAAGTGTACATTTATACGTATTTAGGGTTTAATATTGCACTGTTTCTTAACATAGATTAGTTTCAAATTGACAAAACCATTAAAAAAAAAAACACACCATAAAAAGAAGCTAAACAAACAGGCATAAAACTTAACAAGGACCCTGATGAAGGTTTCATTAGCACTCAACTCAATCATTTCAATCAGGTATGTGGTCAAAACACCCTGTTATGGTCCTGCTTACAAGCAATATCACACCAGTATTTTACATTGTTTTGAACATGAAATACACATAGCACCACTCACCCACAACAAGACTGAGGGCATATCCAAAGGGAGCTTGTGCCCAAGCTAACCCATAATCCGGTAAATACACATATTCAGCTGTGCCATTGATGTAACCTCCTCCAACCCAGGTCGCTGAAAATCACACACACAAACACACACAAACACACACAAACACACACACACACACACACACACACACACACACACACACACACACACACACACACACACATAAATGTGACCTCTAGGGAAAAAGATTTTTGAAATGATTAAAGAGGGGTGTTTTATGTTAAAATAAATAGAAATTCAAACAATCTATACTGTAACTCTTATTCTTCCATGAGGAAAACCCATGATATATGTCACTTTGCCAAGTCCATTTTGAGTCAAAGAATTCATCTGAAAGCTGGTAAAGTGAATGTTTGGCAAATATTTCTAAAAGGAAAACAACTGAAACATCAAATATCATACAACATTAGAACATTTTTTTATGAATTGCCTAACACCAAAAGCTGATTCTTGAGGAAAGAAGAAAAGATTAAATATGTTAAAACAAACCATAGCTACTAAAACCAAATGTTACTGAGTACATAAATACAAACTTCACCTGTCATGGTAAATCCACCGACAAATAATCCAATGTCTCTCCCTCCGACCATGATGGTTTCGCTGCGGTCGGTGCCCTCCGCCTCCCCGGAGTGTTTGTTCTTCCATGCCGCCCAGATGCCCACGAACAGGATCAGTAGATAGAAGATCGCGATAGCCACAAGCCCCTCTATATGGATGGTCATTGTCGCACCAGTCTTCCGCTAGGAACGGGAGGGCATGGAGACCTGTTTTGCGCACGGAGAAGAGAGGATCAGATATTCCGTACAGTTCAAAAACAATCATTTGGCTTTTAGTTTTCCGCGTTAGTTGGACTAACAACAGAAATGTGCCAAGACTGGGACATTTTGGTGCCTTAGTTGGATAAGAGTTTCAACTGACCAAACAAGCGTCGCCTTGTTGTAATAGAAAAATATAATAACAGTCCCAAAGAAATCTATTTAATAATTTCACGCGCTTTGATGACCCTGAAAAATGTCTCCTTTTGAAATATGACTTTCAACTCAGAACAGATTATTGTGGCTATTCTACCTTACTCTACATGATCGTAAGAAGTAAAGTGAAAATTTGTTGAAAAGAAACCTGGAAGCTCTATTTTTGTATTCCTTTAGGCAAAGACATTCATAAATGTATGCATAGTTCAACTGAGACAAATGTAAAATAAATCAAACAAATCTGAGTAAGGTTTAAAAAGTAATCACGGTTGATGTTCTATTTTGTGACAGTGGTATCTGATCAAACCTTTTTTCTATTTTCTATCTCTCCTTTCGTCCTTTTATCCGGACACATGCGCGTAAAATCCAAATTACGCACAGCAAAATATAGGACTGCCTTATCCACATCATATCGTTAATAATGAACTGTCACCTAAAGATCTCCACTCAAATGAATACGATATCATCTTTTAGAATACTATTTGATAAACGAACCTAAACAGTTAAAAAAAAAAGCTTGAAAAACACGACGCAAAACTTACCTCAAGTGTCTCTTAGAGTCATGTGCTGGGGCACCTGAGGCAGAGAACGGCGAGCAGAGCAGTCGGGCGGTTTATTAAGAGCCTCGTCCCCCCAGTTAAATGAAACGTTGGTGGAGGTCTCCCGGGTGATTTACTGGGGCTTATAAGGGGGCAGGTGCCGTCAGAGGACTGATACACGCGTCAGAGAAACCAAACGTCCCTCTTAATGAGCACCTTGCATGGAAACACGTCACAGTGTCCTGGCTGATCTGACTGGAGGAGGCTGGGAGAGATTCCTGTACTCCGTAAAGAGGATGGATGGCCGTCTTACTTTCCTTTTTTTTTTTTTTAAACCACTGAATAGCATGACATGAATTTTAATACCAAAGTTGCATTTTTCACTTTAAATAATCAAGAATTTGTGGAGAGTTTTACTCTTCACGTGGCTCCTGCTCCTTCAGAGTCAGTGCGTAACAGCCGCCTAATTGCGCAGCCATACTTCTTGTGGCCTTTTATCCGCTGTCACTGTCTGCCCAGCCGGCATTTTACCTTACAACCGCAATTAACTTTGCTCCACAGAAACCGTTTTTGTGGAGCGACTAAGGAGGATGAGAGACCACCCTGCTGGTGCCCTCTTTACTTTGTACAGGAGAAAACTGTGGAGATTCATTTGTTTAAAAAAAATAACTGCTTAAATTTAATTCTCATCAGTTTTCTTTTTCTTTCTTCTTATTCTTTTTTTTATTTTTTATTTTTTTTACAGCAATTCGCCCTCACTTCACACCTTTTTACACACAATTAGAAATTATTTAAGTACACTGTGTCTGCCACTTTCCCTTCACGGTATATATCAATGAACTGTGTCTACTTAATGGCCTCTTCTGCCAGAAGTCCTTTAATCGGGGCTACTCTTGTCAAAAATGACAGGCATCCAATTAGGATGGATCCTGAAGAGCAGAGGAGAGATTTAATGATACAGTCTGACCACTTAAAAAAAAAATCCTTGGCACGCACACACACGCACGCACAAAGAATGAGACACACGCACAAACAGTGTAACGGAAAACGTATTTGCAAAAGATGGCTGAGGTGTTTACTCATCAAAAGAAAGGGTGACAAGCCTGTTTTAACGGGGAAACGCACACAGCGCCCCGTTCTGGAGGGTTTCAGCACCATGGATAGGGGCTCATCTATTTATCTCTGCTGTATCTAGCTGAAGGTTTACATTGCTTAATCTTAACTGTACCAATTGATGGGACTGTAACTTAACATATAAGATATTAACATATAATATCTTTTTTTGTTTTGTTATTTCAATGTGTTCGTTTTAACCTACAGTCAAAGGTTTCAACCAATCTACCAAACATAGAATTACAAATAAAGACAATTTAAGAATTTAATTTATTTGAATAACGTTGACTTGAACTGGACTTTGTTTGACATCTCAGAAGTGACTTTGTACTACCAAAGCGTAAATCGGAAACATCCGGAAGACAGCTGGAAAGGTTCCTAACTGCATGTTTGACAGATGGCTGGCACATGACCTTGGCACTTATACAGGCCAAACACTGAATCTAAGTGTGTACAAGTTTGTGGTTTGATGATATGATCCACAAACACATGCTCCTCAATCAGGTCATTATATCAACATATGGATACAAAACAATCATCAGTACAAAAATGAACTAGCGTCCTGCACAGCATCATAAGAGGAAAACTTATAACTTGTATAAACAAATGTTTATGTTCAACCAAATAAATTGTTCAGGGCCCAAGGACTCCAGGTTTAATGAGCAGCTGTTGCTGGCAGAGCTCAAGATGTTAGTGAGAGAGAGTGAGAGTGAGTGAGAGACACAGAGAGAGAGAGGATCCACAGATAACATACTCCGAAGCCGGAGTGCTGTAAATCATGAAACAATATTCATTTTCCATAGCATTTATTCTTTGAAAATTACCACATACAATATAATAAACAAAATACACACAGCTCGTTTGTTGATATAGTTTGAAGAGTCTATAACGTCTCTGATGCTAAAGTGAACCTGTGCTCAGAGGGTCTTTGCTTTGAAATAGATGTCTGGAGTATATGAAGTAAATCACCACTCTGAAATGTCTTACAGTTAAAAATAGACAGTATATTACAAAATCAATGTAGTGTCCTTAAAGCCACTATGAGCAGGATGTGAATATTTTGGACTTGGGTGTCCCCCAGTGGTAGTATAAAAAATAGATAAATATGAGTGGACTGAAGGTGAAACAGACCAGATTTCACTGGAAACGTATCCTTGCAACAAAAACACTACAGAACAGTCATTCACAACTTTCAGGATGTAAAAATTTGAAACCGCCTGATAGCAACAATAACAAATATTTTCAGCTCACATTTCTTGTATTTAAGCAAAAATAATCAACTATTTGATCATTTGAAAGATTCATAAAACCTTGCTCTACATGAAAGGTATCTGTGAAGTTTTCTTCGGTTGGTCTATGTTGAATTTTGAACATGACTTTTCAATCATTCACAACTTAAAGAACTACATTCACAAAAAACTGACAGGAATTATTTTGTCCTATCAACCTCATACCCACGGGTTATACATTCTACAGTTAATATTTCAAACCATGAACAAAATCCTTTTCAAAACATTACATGACGAGGTTTTCTGTATAGCACAGTCCTGAAAGTGAACCGGACTGTAAGGACAACCATTATAAAAATATTGTGTTATTTGGGGGAAAATATTTCATTTTTGGAGCGTTACAAGGTGTTTTTGTAGTTTTTGTAGTAGCAGTTTTGTAGTAAAGTTTACAGATGAGACATTTAAAGACAAATATAAACAAGATTATTCTAAATATTTTATCTCACATTTCTGTATGTTATTCCTTTTTGCCTTGAAGCTACTCAAAAACAGTGAAACACCTCCCACTAGCTATAAAGCTTTGTTGAGGTGATTGAGCTTAGCAGAACCTAAAAAGCAACCATACACTCTGATCTGTACAGAAGTGGTTTTTAATGTAAGCTTTCAGCCAGTGGCTAAACAACAGGATCAAAGGCTGGCATTAAAAACTTTTGTGCAGATGTCTTTTTTCAGTTGTCTGCCTTTGAATCACTGAAGTACCATGAGTAAATTGTAAGAAGCATTTTGTTTGATTACATTTCTTTTCTTTGAGCAATGAAATAAGGCAAAGGTAAAAACGCTAGTTGAAAAATAGTATTTGAAGTTTGGATTTTTAAGCAAATTTTGGCTAATTAACTTGACATTCACTTCATGACTATCATTTTACCTTGTCACGCTAAGTTAAATACATATAAACAATTAGCCACAAGTAACAATATGTACAACAAAAATCTACTGGGTCCTAGAAAACATTTAATCTTCAATACGCAAAACATATTTTCACAGCTACTCAAAAAGGAGCAACATCAATTAAACATGAGCAGAGCTGCATGAAGTATTAGCTGCAGTAAAGACACTGTAACTTTTGCTTTTAATGTGACAATGAGATGGCCCTATATGCAAGTTTGAGAAAGGCAATGTGCACTGTGATGCATGAACACTTTCTGGTATTTGTTTGACAAATACCAGAAAATTTCCCTCAGCTGAAGAAGTAAACAATAGTTAACTGAACTGTTGTGATGCTTCAAACACAAATAATAATGTATCTACAGAGGCCCTGAGACCCATGAGGAAAAAAAAAAAAGAGCGTTTGGCATATTTCAGAGGTGGAAACCATTTCTAAAGGACCTTCCTTACAGGTTGGTTTGTATGTATTAGCCCATTGCACACAGATCGCAGAGACTGTGATAAAACTGCAGATGAGAGCATTTAGCCAGTGGCTGAAACATGAGCATAGTGCATAGGACCACACAATAACATTGGTAATTGTGAGCCAGTACACAAAGGACAAAATACATTGAGTTGACATCATTGGTATAATGTGGTGTCAGCTGTTCTCTTCAGGGAAGCTGGCACATATCATTTGTCAGACAGTGTCTAATACGGGCTGAAACATACAAAATAACACACCACCTAACAACATGTCCGTTCTAGAACTGGTATTCATGCTTCCTAAAATAAAAACAGCACCAATGACAGTAGCACATATAAGTGTAGTTATAGTATCATGATCCCTGTGAGCCTGTTACACAAATATATTGAGGAATTGGAGGGATAATATTGTTATGTTCCATATTTTTGGCATTTTACTGCCCATTTTGAGACAACTTATCAGTTTAAACTCATAATGCTTTTATGGAAAAGTAAGAATTTGCCCCAAATGAATGTGACAATGTTGCCTATTTGTATGTTTCTCACTGCACTGTTATTACTGGTACCAGATAATCAAATAATGTATCAATTCTGAGTGAACCACGCCAGCCAAGAACCATCAAAATACCACATTAAAAACATTACCATCCCATGGTACTTCTGAAAACAGGGTCAACCCATCTTTCAGAAAAGATTTCCATGGATGCTGCTGCTTCTGGCGTGTCCATCCTCATGCCCTCACGTTCTCATTGTTTTGATTTGATCTGAAAAAATATAAATGCAATCAATCAGCAATATATACCTATATAAGTAACGTAAAAAACAGTGTCATTCAGGTATGACATCTCATAACAGTGGGAACCAGCATACTGAGCATGTGGATCAACAGTGGAGAAATAGATTACGCAGCAGGAGCAGGTAGAGAAGTTTCTATGGATATTTTGTATCCATCGTAAATACTGTGAATCCAAACACACCACTACTGAGAGACACTTCAAGCCTTGAAACTTGAGCATTTGACACTCAAGGGATAGACTTCTGATTGAGTATTTAAAGCTTTGATATCAGATATCAGCACCAGCCTTATTGGGGCACCCTTGATCCAGTAGATGCATCAGGAAGCCAAATGACAGTAGGTGATTAAGTTGAAGAAACAAAGTTTTGGATATGAGGAGTTATAGAAGTTATAGGAGATATGAGGAGAGTATAGGAGTACACATACTGTACTGCTTGTTCAGAATAACACCATGGATCACAGTCAAAGTCACCATAATACAGTAAACATGGTAAGGAAAAACTGGGGGAGTTTAAAAAAAAAAAATCCTCTACAACTACATAGTACCACAATAAATAACACAACACAAAACACCCAGTACTCACTGCATAATTTGATCTATGGAAGGATTTGAATGAGAGCATTAAACATAATAAAAAGAAAATAAGATGATGTTGATGAAGTAGAACAGACTAAACCTTGCAGGTTAATAAAAAGCTATGTGCTGTGTATGTTCCAGTCATACACAGATATGCAATAAAACAAACATATTTGATGAAATATTGTGATGCAAAGAAAAACAAAGAAATGTTAAAATTCTCCACATTTGTAGGATTAACTGGGAAAATGTTTGTCATTGGTTAAAATGTGGATTAAAAATAAAGCAATGTTTCTCATGAGAAGTGTTTTTTTTTTTTAATGACCATATGAAATGTAGACAAAGGGTGTTATGATATATATGTATTCTTAACTTAATAGTGAACGAAATGACAGTAGTCACTGCAGTATGAGCTCAGCACGCCAACACACTCTCACTTATATGAACTCTCTTCATACCTTGCAACCAGTCGACTCCCTCCTGCAAACCTTCTCCTTTCAGAGCATCGGTGGCACTGGAACAAATCAACAAATCATATTTAGAAAACTGTACCATAAAGTCCCTACTTTGTCAGAAGAAATCGTAAAGATATACCTGCACCTAAATATGACAAAAACATTCATCATGATATGATAAGTGACTTGTTTACTACATGCATGTAAACATAGTCATTGACACATCCTGGTTGTTGAGACTAAACAGCTGTGTTCTGGTGCCTCCAATGGTAGAGGTGCAGGTTAAATACTACGGCGTTATTTCACAGAAGATTCCAATTTGTCTGTGATAACTACACCACTGCTTCCTCAATTGCGTTAGCATACAGGCATACTAGGTACAGTAAGTAAATAAGTGTGCATGTATGTTCATACCAGATGTGCCAGGGTTTGTCTTTGATGTTCTCCAAACAGAGCAGCTGTGAGACCTTGACTGAAGACAGAGAATCTCTGACATCCATCTTGTTAGCAAAGAACAGGATGGGGATCCTCCTGTGTTTAATATCTGTAGTGAGAGAGACAGGGATGACGTTGCAAAGTTATCATTATAAATTCTTAATGTCATTACGTTCTACTAACGAGAAACAAGATTGTGAAAGCAAGACAACTTGGACAAAAGAACAGCTTCATAAAATGTGTGTTACTGGCAAAACAAAAGAGACACAGTTAACAGGGGCAGGGATTCAAACCCAAGCTCAAGAATCATGTAAAATGTACGTGAACGTACCAGGATGGTTTAATAATGTGTCCAGTTCTTCTTTGGCTACTACCATCCTCAGTTTGTCTGCACTATCAATGACAAAAATGATAGCCTGGCCTTCCCTGAGGAATACAAAGAGACAACAGGGATTAATATGTATCTAAACAGCAAATGGGACTGGTGTTTTTGGTAGTGCTGGCACACTCACTTGTAGTAGTGTTCCCAAAGGTTTCTGTATCTGCCTTGACCAGACATGTCAAACACTGTGAAGGAAAGACTACAAGAAGAGAAGAGAGAAAACTTGTGTATATATATACATATATTGACAAAAACACAGTATAATACACCAGACTTGCTCCAAAATTATATAAATTAACTTAAGACTGAAATATGCAATTATGAGAAGATGACATAACATTTTTTTAAAATAAAATGTCCAACAGCTACCTGGATGTCTTGAACTTCTCTATGCTGAAGCCAATGGTAGGGACAATGTCTTGTGCCTGGGCCTGAAAAGACACATGCAGTAGGTTGTAAATAAAAACATAAAGCGAGAACACAGATTATCTACATGTTTTAAATTCCTCGCTAGTTAACTGTACATGGGTGGTGCGTAGATAATTACAGGAAAACAAAAGCAGTACTATAGGATATTAATGTGCACAATTGCTGTAATCAATATTCTGGTAGATAAGTGAATGTGTGTTCGTATTAGTCATTGGTTAGACTCACATTAGAGGGCTTGAGGTGGTTGATGATGGTGGTTTTTCCGCTGTTGTCCAGACCAAGACACAGCACATTCACCTCCTTCTTCAACCCCAGCCATCCTGCCAACTTGTCAAACAGCCCCATTGGCTAGCCAGCAACCATCAGCTGCCTGTCTGACCTAAAAGAAAAAGGCCATACATGCAGTTGGAAAGTGACAGCCTCTCTTGCACAGATTGCGGACTGTTTCAACAAGAAGTTTTACATCAGCAGATACCAGAGAGGCATATAGTTACAGATCGGTTAATCAGCCGGTTATTTGGCATTTTAAGATAATCAACATCAGCCGATGTCTGTGCTCACAAGGCTGATGAATAAAACACATCTTCAGACACATTTGCAGGCAGCCTTGTCAGTGTGGTTGTTATGGAACAATGTTAGTGCTGTTGGAACAAAAAGTTAGTTTCAAGCACTATAACTTTCAAGCATCCTGCTGTAAACATATGCCTGAATTCCCTATAGAATAGAATAAAAGAGAATAGAAAATACATTGATTTTCTTGGTTTTGATACTGGCCATCTGCAGCCAAGCTCTCTAAAAATCGGCCATTGAAAATCCCGTATCAGTCGATCACTAATACAGTATAAAGTAACTACTTCTGCACAGATATTTATTGTGACTTGTTGCTCTGGTTAAAGATGTGTCTGCGCTGGCTCCTTATATGTGATCTGCAGTCGATACCAGAAATGAACACAGATCATGCACCTACGTCCGTATCACAACCTTTACAGCTTTAAGGAAAACCTGGTGTACATGTCAGACATCTGTTAATATAGCAACTCCCACGACACTTATAATGTCGCATTAAAATAACCCTAATGAAGAAAACGTCGGCAGAAGTTTCAGCATTTAACGCTACTCGACAAGTGAGCATTTAACGCTAGCGTTGGTTACTAAACCTTAACCCATTTTAATGCTAGCTAGCGTTACGACAAGACTTTTCTGTTCATTCACAATACAAAGCAACGGGTCACTGCAGCTATTAAGAAATAGCATTATCTCGACGACTTTTATTCGCTAACCGTAGCTTAAGCCAACATGCTTAGCGGGCTCTTACCAGACTGTAACGTAATTAACATTCGCTAACCGCTATTTAATCTCTTTTTGTTACTGTTGCTAACCGGACGTAGCTAACGTTGAGCTAATAATTACTTCAGCTTGCCGAAGTTTACATGGACGGTTATCTAACGTGAGACTATCCTTCTTCATATCGCCAATTTTACAAGACAGCAAAACACACACACACACACACACACATACACAGACACACACACAGAGATATAACGTTAATAGCATGAACATATCTGAAGCCTAACTTAGCCTTACAGTTAACGCTAACAGCTAACACCCTAGCTGGTATTATCCTTTACCATTCTGTTGTGTAGTTGGAGTTTACCTGTAATTTAACCTTCGGGTCTTGCTTCCAGGATGCACTTAACGCCCCCTTAAGCTATCTCCTTAAATAACCAACGTTTCATTCATTTCTCTTCCACTGTCTCATGCAGGCTAGCTAACAGAAAACTCTCTGAGTTATTTACACTGTTGCTGGGAAACCAGTGTGCTGCTGACTCATGTCTGCCCCCTACAGGCCCCACAAAGCTGACTCCTGTCTGATACTGTGGTCTTGCAAAAGCAATGGGGTTGTCATGTTTTAGTAACTATTAATTTAAGGGTTACATCCATTTAATAATCCTGATTTGTGCACTGTTACAGTAATGGGATGCATAAAATGTATTCGTATAAATGTAATTGCACACCGGGAAAATACCCCATTCACAAGAGAATGAATGTGTGTCAATCTGTCTATGAAATGGAAAAACAAAACAGATTAATGATAAAATCAAATGGGGAAAAAAAGAATTTATTAGGCTTATTGTGTGAAAATGTTTATGATGAGTATAATGCAACTTTACTTAATTTACTCTTTACTCAATAAGTATGTGCCACATATTTTGCCATTGTCATTGGCTCTTTAAGGACTTTCATTTATCACCCGTTTGACAAACTCACCTGACAATTCTTCATGTCCAGAAAACGTGTCAGTCTCTTGAGTGACAATTAAGAGGACACATGCATGTGCGTGTGGTTGAGAGAGAACACATGCATCCATGGATACCTGTGTGTGTGTGTTAGTGTGAATGAGCAATTAACAGCTTGCTTTGAAGAGATATGTTTGGGCCTGGCTGGGTTAAAGTCTGAGAGAAAACTAAGTATTAAAATAGGGTTGTTTATTAAGGAACAAACATACTGAATAAAACTTACAACTTTCACAAGACTTTTTGTACAAGACATACTGCATTATCATGAGGATAGAACGTATATTTCTATAAAATCTTTTGACATTCAGCGGTCTTCAGTTCATAAAACATGATTGTATTTACCATTCTGTCAATCTTTATTTCTGGTGAATTGTTACATTAACCAGCTGGAAAGGTTGTTGTTCAAATCACATACTGTACCATACCATACCTTATCCTATTCACATCCTCTCTGTCATGAGGTAACAAGACTTGAGACCATTAAAAGTCAATACAAACCATTGGATTGTCACTTGGAAAGAGAAGAGGTATTGGTGAACACTTGAATAGACACTGGAGAAAAGAAGTCCTAAATTCAAGTGAATGCTAGTATTTGCTGAGATAACAAAGAGACCGCATTTGGCCAACGCTGACAGAGGTTGGTTGTTGTGGAGGCTGTATTGATAATGATCCATAAGATGACAAGTGTGTATTAACCAGACCCACATGTGGTCTAGCAGCCAACGGCTCTCACACGAGCCGTGTGTGGTACCATCTACACCCAACAGTCTGGTGTTTGTGCAATTAGTTGAATGACGATGCCAAAGAACTCTGGTTTGTTTCCAGCTCAGTATGCACATACAGTCTGTCTTTGTGCAATGGTCTCACACTTGAAAACCACTCTGTTGGATGTGGTGAAGCTGCAGGCGAAGAGACTGTATGCTGCTTATGATTCTCCTCTGGTGACCAATCAAACAGATCCCGATACGCCTGATGTCACTGAAAGGGGAGAAAACAAACACCATAACATGCAATAAAGAGGTTCACGTCACTCACCTGCAACAAGAACACTTGGAAAACTTGTTAATATGAACTTTAACCATATTTAGCATGGCAGCATACTGTAATACTACCAGTCGTAATATCGTTAATTTCAGACTGTCAGAGGATGTCTGAAAAATTAGACTGATGTACCTGCAGCTTCATGATGATACAGTGAATAAACCAGGGCACATATAATATTGCAGCCTCATTAAATAAATAAAAAGAAGTCTTCAATTCAATTCAATTTGATTCAATTCAGTTCAGTATTATTTGTATAGCGCCAAATCACAATAGAAGTTATCTCAGAACACTTTTCAAAGCAGGTCTACACCATACTACTGATTTGTGGAGACCCAACCATGACCTGGACAAATATTTCCTATACAAATCTTAATAATGGATTTTATTAAAATTTTTCTGTTCTTTTGATGCTACTTTGTTTCATTTTGGTGTGGTTTTAGATACTGTAGCTGCTCTCTGTGTGATTCGTCTTCACTCACTCTATACTCATGGTTGAAATGGAATCCAGTGTTGTGTATCCTGCTGCCAGGAAGTTGTTCTTATACTGGCTCATCTTGATGGAGTCGAGCCAGTCACCAATAGAGATGAAAAGAGGGTAGTCTGGCATGTCCTCTGGCGAGTCAGGGAAACTGAGATGAGAAACAGAAAAGGAATACAAAAAGACATGTTAGCATATCATTGAGCTGAATAGCAATTATTCTTTGAGTAACCATGCCAGTGGCTCAGAACAACATTATTAGCAATGATTTTCCAACACATAGCTTACCTTCCCTTTTAAAAAATGGTATAAAAATGAACATGTGGATGAACAATCAATAACAGTCAATATTACAGCTTTATTTCATTTTCCCCACCAATATGCATTATTATTGTCTGGTGATGTGATACCGAGCAGGGATGGTTTTAACATCTCTACCTTCTTGCTGTTGTGCGTGCTATAGAAAAACTTGCATTCCGCACTTGATATTTTACTGCATTCACATAATATTTTTCAAGATTCTTAACATATAGAAAGTAAACACAGCTATCAAATAAACATAACATTTTGAAACCCATGAACACTTTATTCCAAGTGGGGTTTACCTACAGTAACAATTTTAAAGGATTTAGTGGCACCTAGTGGTGAAGTTTCAGATTGCAACTAACCAAACATCACTCGCTTCTGTATTTGATGAACTGGGAATGAGAACGGGCTGTAAAGTGTCTAGGAAAAACTATGGCGGCCACGAAATTCACAAAAATGCAAAAGGGCTAGGGGCAGTGCTTGGGCTGTTCGTTCTAGGCTACTGTAGAAACATGGTAGTTCTACATGGTGGGCCCCATGGATGGCAAACCATGGGGTCTGTAGTTAAAAGTGGCTTATTCTAAGATAATGAAAACACAACGATTCCTATATTCAGGTGATTATCCACTAATGAAAACATACCTAGATCCTCCTAATTAATCCTTAATTTTACACACTGGACCTTTATGTCTGTGCAATATGATTATCATACCCTACTGAAATTGAAAGCAATAGCTGTTTGTAAGGAGGGAAAACAATAAAATTGTACAGTATTCTTTAGATAGAAAAGGGAAGTTTTCATAATTTATGGTTAGTGGACTAAAACATGCAAGGCCACCAGTATGGTCCTTTCACACAGTGTCTGTATGAACTGATACTTTACCTCTGCACATCATTCACTAGAGTGAGCAGACTACTGGGATTGATTATGAGTTTGTCCAGGAAAGAGAGCACATTGTTGAAGCGTGGGCGCTGGCTGGACTCCTTCTGCCAGCAGTGCAACATCAACTGGTGCAGTGTTACGGGGCAGCCCATTGGTGCTGGTAGACGGTAGCCTTCTTCAATTGATAAAATGACCTGAGATGAACATCAACAAGTTAAATATGAGTGACAAATACAAATTTGTATTGCTATTGTGTTTATCATGCTTTAGTGGTTAATGTAACCAGCAGCTTACATCTTGATTGGACATCTCCCAATAGGGCCTCTCACCATAGGACATCACTTCCCACATGACAATGCCGTAGCTCCAAACATCACTAGCTGAGGAAAATTTTCCATAAGCAATAGCCTCCGGTGCTGTCCAGCGTATTGGTATCTTTCCTCCCTGACACAAAACATAGAGATATTCAACATTTCTCACTGCAACAACAGTCATATTGTAATATCCCACAGTAACGGTTGGATCCAAACTCACCATAGCAGTGTAGGCTGCTTCACTGTCATCCTCAAGGATTCTGGACATACCAAAATCAGACACCTTACACACCAAGTTCTCATCCACCAAGATGTTGCGAGCGGCTAGGTCTCTGTGAACATAACCCATATCTGACAGGTAGGTCATGCCTACTGCAATGCCACGCATCATGCCAACCAGCTGGAGCACTGTAAACTGACCATCACGTGTCTGGAGTGGTTGTGAGAAAGAGAGAGGACAAATATGATGCATGGAAGACAATTTTTATTCAGGAAACAGGTGCACATTTGTGAACATGTCTCTCTCTCACCCGGAGGAAGGAATCAAGAGCTCCATTTTCCATGTACTCAACCACTATCATTACTGGTCTGCCTAAGGAAAAGGTAAAATGCATGATCTGAGTAATAAACAGAGAAAAGAGACTGAAGGAAAGAATTAATGAAAACATATATAGAGCTTACTCTTGGTGACCACTCCCTCAAGCCTGATGATGTTGGGGTTGTTAAACTGTCCCATGATTGAAGCCTCACGCAAGAAGTCTCGCCTCTGTTGTTCCACATAGCCACCTTTAAGTGTCTTTATTGCCACAGCGATGTCCATCCTCCCAGGTATATGCAACCGACCACTACAGACTTCTCCAAATTCCCCTATCAAAACAACACAACACAAAAAATGGTTTATTATCTCTCATATATTGACTTGGATAAGACTTATTCCAAGTGCTATATCACTGCTGCCAATTTAATTGATCATTATGTTTCCTGTTCTTAGTGAAGTATAAATGTATGTTTTTGATAAAAAAAAAACAAAAAAAACATCAGGTGAAATAAATATTGAGTCAGACAGTTGGATAATCAATTAAACCTGAAGTTGACAAAAAAAAGATAAATGTGGAAACGGTGTGACACTATACAGCAGTTGCATTGCATTTCAAACATCTGTAAGTACACACTGCTCCCACCAGATGGAGCCTGTGTTACAGAAACTTGACAAATGAGATGCAAGTATTCATGAGCTAAATAGCAGACACAATCTGTTCAAATTAATGAACCATTGAACATCATTACTCATAGTCTGTAGCACTGGCTTTGCTTCTCTAAGGTACAATACAATAAATTACTTTAAAACCAGCTTTCTAAGAGTGGCTATAAACATTTTAAACACAAGCTTTATGAGGTTTAACATCTCTTATAGAATAAAAATGTTACTCAACATAAAATGTGATCACAGATGCTAGACAACCGTATAGTGTCACAGGGACATTTTTACAATATGCCTGTGTAATCCAAAATG